GATGAAGATATTGAACCGAACTGGACCCAGAACTGATCCCTGCGGGACCCCACTCGTTATGCCCTTCCAGCATGACTGTGAACCACTCATAACTACTCTCTGGAAACGATTTTCCAACCAGTTCTGCGCCCACCTTATAGTAGCCCCATCTAGGTTGGATTTCCCTAGTTTGTTTATGAGACGGTCACGCGAGACAGTATCAAAAGCCTTACTAAAGTCAAGATATACCATGTCTACTGCTTCCCCCCCATCCACAAGGCTTGTTACCCTGTCACAGAAAGCTATCAGGCTGGTTTGACACGATTTGTTCTTGACAAATCCATGCTGCCGTAGCACCTTGTTATCTTCTAGGTGTTTGCAAATCGATTGCTTAATTATTTGCTCCATTATCTTTCTGGGTATAGAAGTTAAGCTGACTGGTCTGTAATTCCTCGGTCTGTCCTTTTTTCCCTTTTTATAGATGGGCACTAGATTTACCCTTTTCCAGTCCTCTGGAATCCCTCCCATCTTCCATGACTTGTCGAAGATTTTAATTGCTAGTGGCTCAGATATCTCCTCAGTCAACTCCTTGAGTATTCTAAGATGCATTTCATCAGGCCCTGGTGACTTGAAGACATCTAAGTTTTCTACGTAACTTTTAACTTGTTCTTTCCCTATTTTAGCCTCTGATGCTACCTCATTTTCACTGGCATTCACTATGTTAGACGTCCACCTGCTACTAACCTTTTTGGTGAAAACTGAAACAAAAAAGTCATTTAGCACGTCTGCCATTTCCACATTTTCCGTTATGGTTTCCCCCCTGTCCTTGGGCTTCCTCATTCTTCTAATGTATTTGTAGAATGTTTTCTTGTCTCTAGCTAGTTTAATCTCGTTTTGTGCCGTGGCCTCTGTAATTTTGTCCCTACGTACGTGTGTTTATTTATTTGTTTATATTCATCCTTTGTGATTTGGCCTAGTTTCCGTTGGACCAGGACTCTTCTAGCCTTCACCACCTTGGTTTTCAAGACCATCTCATGATATTTTGGGGGCCCTGGCTCCTGGGTTTTGAGTGCCTGGGATTGTGCTGACACCACTCTGTAGCGGAAGCACGGCCTTCTGGAGCTAGGCGTCCCCGTGGGAAGCCTGGTCAACTCTGGGCGGGTCACGTTACTGCATGGGTGTGCGTGACCTGCACCTTGCCTGGCCCCTCTGCAGCTGTGCCCTTGTTAGCACTCCTAGCCCCGGGGATGGGACTGACGAGTGTCTGGCCGGGGGACGGCCCAGGAAATCCCAGCAGCGTCGCTCGTTCGCTCGCCGAGCTTCTCAGGGTTTTGCAGGTTGGCGACTCCTTATCTGAAGAGAGACATTTTTGCGCCCCCTCAAACTCCTTATAAAAGTCAGAGTAAAAGGGGACCAGTCCTAGCAGTGCCACGCCTGGCTGGTTAGTTGTGTGCGCGTGGTGGGAGGTAGCAGAGAACACCTGAAGGGCCCGGGGCGGCGGGAACAAGACTTTCTGTGCTTTAGACTGGAATAGAATTTTCACTGCCTGCGACCCGCCCATTGCCTGTCACGTCCCACCGGCTGAGAAATGGGGCCGTTTGCTGTAGTGCACCTCCCAGGCAACCTCGGACGGGCAGACTGGCCTGGGGGCGCTGACGTGGCCTGGGGGGTTCCTGTTTCCGCCATGGGCAGCTGGGTGGTGACTGAGAAGGAAGTGATCTGCTCTGGAGCCTATGTACAAACGCTCCTTCCATAGTCCGGGGCCAGTCCCTCAGCTCTCCTTCCCCGAGGCAGTGCTGGGAAGGGGGGTTGTGGTGACTCAACTCCAGTGGCCTCTGGTCTCGTGGCCTCCCTGCTGATTCATCCAAAGCCAGCTGGTGGATTTGTGTATTAGAATAGATGCACAGAGTCACAGGTTCCAGAGTCAGAAGGGACCACTGAGATCATCTGGTCTGACTCCTGCACAGCACAGGCCAGAGACCTGCCCTGAGATAATGCCTGGAGCGGATCTGTTAGAAACAATCCTGATTTCAAAGTTGTCATAGCTGGAGAATCCACCACGTCCCTTGGTAAACTGTTCCAATGGTTAATTACGCCCACTGCTAAAAATTTACGCCGTATTTTCAGCCTGAATTTGTCTAGGTTCAACGTCCAGCCATTGGATCGTGTTTAGACCTTTCGCTGCTAGATTGCAGAGCCCATTATTAAATATTTTGTTTCCCATGTAGGTACTTGCAGATTGTGATCAAGTCTTCCCATAACCTTCTCTTTGGTGAGGTAAATAGATTGAGCTCTTTGAGGCCATCACTGGGGGGCAGGTTTTCCCATCTTTTAATCATGCTTATGGCTCTTCTCTGACCCCCTCCAATTTATCAACATCCTCCTGGAATTGTGGGCCCCAGCCCTGGACACAGGATCCCAGCAGCAGTCGCACCAGTGCCAGGTACAGAGGGAAAATCACCTCCCTGCTCGTTCTCAAAATCCCCCTGTTTATGCATCCCAGGATCGCATCAGCCTTTTTGGCCACAGCGTCACCCTGGGAGCTCATGTTCAGCTGATTTTCCACCACGACCCCCAAATCTTTTTCAGCGCCCCTGCTGCCCAGGATAGAGCCCCCCTTCCTGTAAGAATGGCCTGTGCTCTTTATTCCTAGATACATACATTTACATGTAGCCACATTAAAATACATGCTGTTTGCTTGCGCCCAGTTTACCCAGCGATCCAGATCGCTCTATATCGGTGACCTGTTCTCTTCATTATTTCCTACGCCCCCAATTTTTGTGTCATCTGCAAACTTTATCAGTCATGATTAAGGCTACAATTTTGTCGTGGAGGTCACAGAAGTCACAGAATCCGGGCCTTCTAGAGACCTCCGTGACTTCAGCCCATGGCTGCTGGGAGCTGCAGGTTCCCCCCGCCGCCCGCGGCATCTGGGTACTGCAGGTTCCCCCCGCTGCCCGAGCTCTGAGTTGCCAGGGGCGGCAGGAATACCCTGCAGCTCCCGGCCGCCATGGGCAGCAGGGGGACCCCGAGTTCTGAGATGCCATGGGTGGTGGGGGTGTTGTCCCTCCTTTTTATACTTTCAGTTCCCCTCTTGGAAAAACATTTCAGCTGGGCTCCAGGAGACGAAAACCCTATGGGGAAGGATGTTCCCTGCTGCTTTTTTCTCACTGGTTGGAGCTTCCTTTGTTTCCCTTCCTGCTTGATGACTCTGTTTGCTACTTAAATACAAAGGGGGCAGGGGATAGCTCAGTGGTTTGAGCATTGGCCTGCTAAACCCAGAGTTATGAGTTCAATCCTTGAGGGGGCCATTTAGGGATCTGGGGCAAAAATCTGTCTGGGAATTGGTCCTGCTTTGAGCAGGGGGTTGAATTAAATGACCTCCTGAGGTCCCTTCCAACCCTGATAGTCTATGATTCTATGAAATGAAGCAGAGCACACATTCCTTTGTTTGAGACAGACTTGTGTGCCAACCTCAGTTTGGAGCATGTGCTCATAACACCACACATAACACTTCACGTCCAATGTAGCCACACACATTTTATCAGGACGATACTGCTCAGCAAAGTATGAGTTTTCAAATGATCCCTCACAAGGCATACTTGATACAAAGATTATTGCGGTGGTGTGTAGGGTGTGAATACCGGTGTGTCCTGTCCCACTCTCCTCTCGCGAATGGTTCATGGTGCTCGGTGTACCTGGGTGAGCGAGGGCAGACTGCAGCTTGGAGAACCACCTGGGATTTCAGGGTGAGACATTTACAGCAGCTGCCCTGGGTGCCAGAGGGCCGTGGCCTGGGCTTCTCCTGCCCAAGAGGCTAAACTCTACGGAAAGCCTGACAAGCCATAGCAGTCAGGCCCCAAGGTTCCCTGCTCCCTGTGGTCTTCCACTAGCCGCTGCTGCTTGCTCAGATGGTGCAGGGGGGTGAGCAGGATCTTCACTGCCGTGGTAGCAAGGCCTGGTTGCCATCAGAAGGGAGCGGTGCTCCAGGCAGAGCTGTACCTACGGCCTGTCAATTGCAGGGCCGAGCCAGGCCAGGCTAGGCCGGGCTGGGTGGGATTCTGGCCGGGTTAGGCTAGTTCATCAGGTCGGCGCGGTGTCCCCCGGGTGAGGAGTGTAGCTGTCAGTTACAGCCCCTGGGGGGCCTGGCCGGGTGAGGTTAGTTTATCGGCTTGGCTTGCTGTGGCATCCCCCCCGTGAGGCCGCAGTTCCTGACAGGGAGCTGGTTAATGTCGGTGTCTGTGGGCAGGGACAGCTGCTTGGCCTGTTGGCATTGGTACCTCGTAGCGTCAGGGTTGGCAGGGCTCCCAGGAGAGCAGGGAGGGCAGCAGAATATTTTCCATTCTGCTCCTCGCTGCGGGAATGAGTCTCCGGGGTAACGCCTTGCTTTGCTACAGAGGAGATCCTGCTGTCCCGGCTGAACAGTCCTCAGCCCGTCCACCCAAGTCTGCCTTAATCACTGCTGACAGCACAACGGGGCGGGCCGGGTGGTGGTCTTAGGGGAACAGAAAGCCCTCCAGGGCTCGCTCTCTGCTCCCCTCAATTGCCAGACACGGAGAGGCCCTGTCACCGCTCGCTAGCAGGGACACACGCTACGGGGCCTGGAGCCTGCCTGGGCACGAGCCGGGAGAGCTCCGACCCCACGGAGGCCTCTGGAGAGACCTGCGACAGTGCAGGAGAAGGCTGGGCCCTGCTCCCGGGATGGGCACTGAGTGGCCGTCTCCTGTTGTTGTGGAGGGGAGATGCAGTGCGAGCACAGGCCATGCACCTCAGGCAGGAGAGCAGCGCCAAGTCCCCCCCAGCCCCGGGCCTTTGGAAGTCATTTCCGTGACCCCGCCCTGCTCAGAAAGCAGCGGCGGGGGGGGGAGGGGGGGCTCATGTGCCCAGTGATTCTAGCTGCACTGGTCCGTCGACCCTGGGAGCGGTGCCCAGATGTCCCGATTTTATAGGGACAGTCCCGATTTTTGGGTCTTTCTTCTCTAGGCTCCTATTACCCCCCACCCCCGGCCCGATTTTTCACATTCGCTGTCTGGTCACCCTGTGCCCAGGCCCTGCCTGTGTGGCGCGTCCCAGCTGGGAAGAGTTTAAATGCCAGCGCTTAGGTTGCTCCGGGAGGTCTCGTCACTGCCTGTGAAGTGCTGCTGGGCTGGGGACCAGCCTCCTCGGGCTTGCCAGCACGGAGCTTGTTCTGAAACCGGCCCACCACCTCCAGGTTCCCACCGAAACTGCCCCGAGCCGCCTGAGGCTGCGCTTTGGGCCTTCCCGTGGGGTCCAGCTGCTCCGGGCGTCTCCCCGGGAGAGGAGTCCCACTGGCGGGTGGGGGAGAACTCCGATAATACAGCGATGGGCACTAGAAATCCTTCAGGAGAGCCGCTTGCCCCGCAGAGCGCAGGCCCCCCCTCAGCAGCTTGCCAGGAGCCCGCAGGCCACGCAGGTGCAGCCCCCCCGCGCTGACAGGGAGGTGACCTGGCCCAGCGCATGGATGGAGAGGGGGCTCCGTGGGCCACGCGTTTGTGTTAGAGATGGGGTGGCCCTGGGCTGCATCGCAGAACTGAGAGGGTTTGGCTGGGCCGATAGGCAGCACGGGAACCCCCTGCTTCAGACAGCTGCCGATTCAGTCGTGGTTTAAGATTCGCAGCGTATCTGAGCTCGAACCCTTGGCCGCGTGATGCCTGCGCTGGCTGAGTGCCTGGCTGCTGCTCTCCACCCCTGAGGTGGCTGCATTTCAAGGGGGCTGTTTGGATGTTGCTTGTGGAGGCCTTTGGGATCAGAGGCACCAGGGAGAACCACAGATCTTTCCTTTCAGCTCCTCCGCGGCCCTGGTCACTTCCTCTGCTCCACACGGTGGGCCAGCCAGCGCCTTCTCTCCACGGGCCGTGCTGCCCAAGGACTTGTTCTGCATGCACACAGCAATTCCCGCTCCCCCTCTGTGTGCTGCCAAGAGAAGAGAGCAGGAGGTGTGAGACCCAGAAGCAGGAGCCGCAGCAGATTTCACTGCGGAGGCTTCAGCTGGATGTGGGAGGCTGCAGGTGACCCCGAGCTGCTCCTCCCTGATTTCCCAGCGCTGATCAGAACCAGTCCTCCATCTTCCAGCTGGGCCTGTTCTCTGCACACCCCTCCCCCTCGGCTGCCTCCTCCCAGTCCTGCCTCGGCTGAAGTCCCGCAGGGACTGTGTCTGAGCAGTGGGCATGCCTGGTCCTTCACACAGCGCAACGTCACAGCAGCAGCAGGCAGAGTGGAGATGTGATTGCGCAGACCCTCTGCATTGCCAGGGATGCAGCTGGAAAGAAAATAGGAATTGAGTGTGTATCCCCCAGTCCCCGGGAGAGAGGCGAGCCCGGAGCTGGCTGGAGTCTGGACCCTCGGTGCTGCTGGCTGCTCTTGGGGGCAGAGGGATGAGACGGCGCCTTGGGAAGGTGAGCTGGGGAGATGCTTGGGGGGCGCTTGTCTTGCTTGCAGATGGCTTTTAGGTCAGACATTTTCCTGCCAAGCGGTGGATTTTGCCAGCTCCCTGCTGGAGCTCAGAGGCGTCAGGTTTGCTTTGTCCCTTTGCTGCTGCGCTGGGTGGGAGGCTGGTGCGATCGCCGTGCAATGTGTGTGTCCATGGAGCCGTGACACAGCAGGTTGTCATGTCCAGGACTCCCCGGCGGGTCGGTCCTGCAGAGGCGAGCGCTGGTTTGCCCTGGCATCGCCCTCTCCCTGGTGCAGTAACACGGCTCCTCATTGTCTGCCATGACAGCCCAGCCCAGGGAGCTTGTTTTGGTGTGAGCACTGCCACGCTGTCTGTGCGTCCCTGTGCAGCGTGAAATCCGCTCTGACAGGCAGCCCTTTCACGAGAAGCCCGGAGACAAAGGACACAGGCTGGGGAGGGAGGGAGGGCGGCTGCTGTCTGGTTGGCCTGGGCTCGGTTTGCGGGGTGGTAAATGGATGGCGTTGGAGCCCTGTTCCCTGCAGGAGGAATACACCCAGCTCTGCGGGCTGGGCTCCTTTGTGCTGGCCGGAGAGTGCCTGACGCCTGGGTGGCCCGTTGGTGCCCGGCGATAGCTGCTCTCTCTTCTCGGCTGGGAAAAGGGGCAATCAGTCCATCCTTTGAATTCTCGAGATGGGCCGTGCGGGGCCGGGACCATTTACTGGAGCTTAACTATGAGCAGGTGTCGCGCCCAGTGCTTCTCTCCCCACACCCCATCACCGAGCCAGGTGCCCCCCAGCCACTGCCGGGGGACGAGTGCTCTAGACAAGAAGGCGGCTCCCCTAATATGTATGCGGTAAAAGGGGATGGAACGGGTGGAGGGATGCTGAGATCTGAGGTCAGCCAGAAGAGCAGGGGATGAGGTAGTGCTGTAGGGTATGAAAGGGAGGAGGATGGACCTATAGGGGGTGCAGTGACATGGGCTCTAGTGGAGTGGTGTGTCTATAGGGGGTGCAGTGGCAGGGGCTCCAGTGGAGTGGTGTGTCTATAGGGGGTGCAGTGGCGGGGTTCCAGTGGAATGTTGTGTCTATAGGGGGTGCGGTGGCAGGGGTTCCAGTGGAATGTTGTGTCTATAGGGGGTGCGGTGGCAGGGGTTCCAGTGGAATGTTGTGTCTATAGGGGGTGCGGTGGCAGGGGCTCCAGTGGAATGTTGTGTCTATGGGGTGCGGTGGCAGGGGCTCCAGTGGAATGTTGTGTCTATAGGGGGAGCGGTGGCAGGGGCTCCAGTGGAATGTTGTGTCTATAGGGGGAGCGGTGGCAGGGGCTCCAGTGGAATGTTGTGTCTATAGGGGGTGCGGTGGCAGAGGCTCCAGTGGAATGTTGTGTCTATAGGGAGTCCAGTGGCAGGGGCTCCAGTGGAATGTTGTGTCTATAGGGGGTCCAGTGACAGGGGCTTTAGTGAATGTGTCTATAGGGGGTGCAATGGCAGGGGCTCCAGTGGAATGTTGTGTCTATAGGGGGTCCAGTGACAGGGGCTTTAGTGAATGTGTCTATAGGGGGTGCAGTGGCAGGGGCTCCAGTGGAGTGGTGTGTCTATAGGGGGTGCGGTGGCAGAGGCTCCAGTGGAATGTTGTGTCTATAGGGGGTGCAGTGGCAGAGGCTCCAGTGGAATGTTGTCTATAGGGGGTCCAGTGGCAGGGGCTCTAGTGAATGTGTCTATAGGGGGTGCAGTGGCAGGGGCTCCAGTGGAATGTTGTGTCTATAGGGGGTCCAGTGGCAGGGGCTCTAGTGAATGTGTCTATAGGGGGTGCAGTGGCAGGGGCTCTAGTGAATGTGTCTATAGGGGGTGCAGTGGCATGAGGTTCTAGGGGATGTGGAAGTCAGTAGCTTTACGCCCCTAGACACCGGGTGTCGGATGTGCCACAGTACAGGTGAAATGAGTTGTGCAGCCGCACCACACTCACAAACCCACTCCCCAACAGCGAGCTGGGCAGAGCTCCAGGGCAGCTCATTTCAGGGATCGCCAAAGGGCGGTTTAGATAAAACACCCTCAGACCTGCAGGGGATCCCAGCTTGGCAGGGCAGGGACGGGGCAGGCTGAGCTCCGAGCTTTGGCAGAGCTGTGGAGGAACTGAGCGTGAGAGCAGCAGAAAGGGCTGCAGGTCAGGAATGAGGGGCCTTAACAGTGCACGTGGGGCTCGGGGCTGGAAGTGCGGGGGCTGCTGCGCCCGACTGGGGGCTGGAGGAGCAGTGGCGGGGGGGAATTCAGGGCTGGAAGAGGAGGGGGCTGCGTGTGCCGGACTGGGGGCTGGAGGAGCAGTGGCGGGGGGGGGATTCAGGGCTGGAAGAGGAGGGGGCTGCTGCGCCGGCCTGGGGGCTGGAGGAGCAGTGGCGCGGGGGGGGATTCAGGGCTGGAAGAGGAGGGGGCTGCTGCGCTGGACTGGGGGCTGGAGGAGCAGTGGGGGGGGGATTCAGGGCTGGAAGAGGAGGGGGCTGCTGCGCTGGACTGGGGGCTGGAAGAGCAGTGGCAGAGGTGGGGGAAGGGAATTCAGGGCTGGAAGAGGAGGGGCATTTAAATATTAAATCCCTAGTGTGACTCCCTCCAGCTTGGCTCACTATGTTCATGAAGCGTGTCAGGACTCTCTCTAGCATGAACACGGTTTGGTTGAGGCTGGAATTGTCCTCAGCACAACGTTTTGTGCCGCTGTTTTCTGGAAGGACCATTTTATTTCTGCAAGTCCTTGGTCAGTCTCTGTCTTGTCCCATGTGGTCCTGTCTTTTCAACCTGGGGAGCAAGACAAAGCCAGAGCATCTGTTCAGGACAGCAGAGGGGAGGAACAGGGATTCATGCAAAGGTACATGGGAGAGAATTCGTTCTCCCCAAAGCGTTAGACCCATAAATTAAAATGGCATCAGGGCATTTAACCTCCTGGACTGCGAACATCCTCCTTGGAAAACCTCAAACCCATCCCAGGGAAATCAAAACTCTGTGTGTGTCCCATGCTCTTTCACAATGGGGAGGGGCCATGCTGCGGGATATCACCTGCAGGAGGGAGCTAGAGAGAACCGGCAGGAGGGCACATGCATCTGCCGGGGTCTGCATCAAGGTGCCAGAGGAGAAAACGTGCAGCAGGACACACAGCATCTGTGTCGGCCTTGAGGAGATGGCAAACCTACTTCAGAGCATGGACACGTCTCCGGAAGCTGGGGACAGTTTGCAGCAGATGTGTGCGATTCTCTGCTTGCCTCTGCATGAAGATGCTGAGGAGATGGAGGCAGATACCTGCAGCCTTCACAGCCCTGGAGAGAGGCTGCACCCTGACACGCAGGCTGGCTGGGCCTTTTTTGTATGTAGTGCTTGGACTGCACTGTTCGTGAAGCACTGAGAAAGTGGGGGGTAGAAAGCCAACAGTAACCAAGGGGAGAGGGATATTGCTCCTTGGGAGAATTCAGCTTTTCTGCCACGTAGATGCTCAGCTTGGAATGGGGCAGCGCTGGCTGCCGGGTTAGGGGTGAAGCCAGAATCTTATTCTGGGGTTTCTCTTTAATCCTCATCCCAGCTTCTCTCAAGAGAGTCCGGCCGCCCCAACTCTTCCCCTGCTGCCCCTTAGCCCAGGTTGGAGCGTTGGGAAAAGTCAGACAGAAAGTGTTCAGATTGTCGTGCCGAGGGGAGGGGAATGGGGGGGCTCTACTCCCCAGCCCCCACTTCGCATGCACTTGGCTTTCTAGAGAGCAAATGTTACGCCACCTGGTGTAACCCTGCCGCCCTGCCCACCTGGTGTAACCCCGCCCCCAGCACGCCCACGTGGTGTAACCCCGCCCCCCAGCACATCTACCTGGTGTAACCCTGCCCCCAGCACGCTCACCTGGTGTAACCCTGCCCCCAACACGCCCACCTGCCACGACAAGCCCAAGTCTGCACCGGGCGCCTCCCAGGCGCTGAGCCCCCCTCCTGCAGGCTTCGCTCATGAACCCGCCGGAAACGTCTGAAGTTCATTAACATGCTCCGGGGAGTTCCCAAACACACCGAACCACTCCGAGCCGTTCAGCTGGAAGCTGGGTTTCAGGAAAGGCCAGACGCCAGCCCCCCAACTCTGCCCTTTGTTCACAAACATTCTGTGCTTGGACCCTCCCCCGGCGTTAAAGGCTGGGAACGGTCCGTGCAGGGGGCTGGCAGTTGGCTCTGGCAGCCTGTGAGGATCGACCCCGCATTGCCAAAGGATGCTGGGGAAGGGCCAGGCTGTGACTTTCCCAGCTCCGGGGTGGCCGTCAGCCTGGCTGGCCTGCTGCAGGGCGTGCTGGGCAGAGGGTCGCTTTGCGAGGGATGCTGGGGTCTGTGCATTTCAACTAAAATAAACCCTTTGCGATGCAAAAACGGGTGTAATCAGTTCCCACAAAAGGCAAATTCTGGGCAGCTAAGAGGCCAAAAATGAGCGGGAGAGTGAGGGTAGCTGTGCTTGCCAAACATACTCCAGGGCATATCTGTGCAGCAAGGGGGTGTCTGGCTCCTCTCTCTGGAACTGCAGCTGTCACAAGGCTGGGGTGGTGGCTTTGTCCCCGCCAGTTCTCCCAGCTAATCCCCCCGGCTCGTATGGCTTTGGATGGTGCTAATGCAGTCTTCGCTCTACCCCACTCCCCAGCATTAACCCAATATGGCCAGCCCCAGGCATTCAAAACATCATGACTGAGGCCCCCAAAAACCATGAGAATTTACAAGATAAGGATTGGGCCTTTTTCCTTTGCCTCGTGGATTCTGTGTCTTTAAGGGACATTCAGCTCATGGTTTCAAGCTTTTTTTCCACAGAAAGGAGGGTAGAAACTTTTGTTATTGGAAGCCAAGATTCCTACATACTCACATGACTCCAGGAGCTGGGGATTTAAGAAAAACACCCAAATTTGTGAGAACTGGCAACAAGCCGCTCTCCGGCGTCCCAGAGCTGGGCCTTTGCCACACGGCCAGCCACTCCAGCATCCCAGAGCTGTGCCTTCCCCGCAGGGACAGCCTTC